GGAGGAGCAGGAGCAGGAGCAGGAGCAGGAGGAGGAGGATCCAGGAACAAAGACTGCACAAGCATGATTCGCCGGAGGTGCGCGCGGACTCGTGGGTCGGCGCCGGGCGCCCCCACCTCCTCCTCCTCCTGCCTCCTCCTCCTTTCCTCCTCCTCCTCCTCCTCTCCTCCCTCCTCCCTCCTCCTCCTCCTCCTCCTCCTCATCATCTCCTTCCTCTTCTTCTCCTCCTCCTCCCTTCTCCCTCCTCCTTCCTCCTACTCCTCCTCCTCCTTCCTCGCTGCTCCTCGCTCCTGCTGTTCCTTGCTGCGCCTGCTGCTCCTGCTGCTCGCTAGCTCCTCCTCCTCCTCATCCCTCCTCCTCCTCCTCCTCCTCCTCCTCCTCCTCCTCATTCCTCCCCATCCTCCTCTCCTCCTCTCCTCTCCCCTCTTCCCTCCTTCCTCCTCCTACTCATCCTCCTCCTCACTCCTCCTCTTCCTCCTCCTCCTCCTCCTCCTCCTCTTCGCCGCGGGCCTCCGCCCGCCGCCGTCGCTGCTGCCGACTGCCGCTGCTGCTGGACTGCCGCTGCGGCTGGACTGCCGCTGCTGCTGCCCGGCGGCAGGAGCCTGGGGCTGCTGCTGGAGGCCGCGGGCCGCCCCCGGGAGGCCGAGGCCCTGCACCGGCGCGCGCTGGCGGGCCGCGGGCCCGGCGGCCCGGCGGCCCGGCGCCGACGACGACGGCGCCGACGACGACGACGCCGACGGCGACGCCGACGACGACGACGCCGACGACGACGACGCCGACGCCGACGCCGCTTCCGACGACGACGACGGCGACGACGACGACGACGACGACGCCGACGCCGACTCCGACGACGACGACGACGACGACGACGACGACGACGACGACGACCACGACGACCACGATGACGACGACGACGACGACGACGACGACGACGACGACGACGACGACGACGACGACGACGACGACGACGACGACGACGACGACGACGGCGGCGGCGACGACGACGACGACGACGACGACGACGACGGCGGCGGCGGCGGCGGCGGCGGCGGCGGCGGCGGCGCGCGCTGGCGGACGGCGCTGTGTGCCGCCTTTCGGGTTGGACGTGGCGCACTGGGGGGGGCTGTTTTGCTGAGATTTCTGCCAGCTGGAGCCGCCGTCTGGAGCAGCAATCAGCCATAAATGATCAATGCGCCGCCCACGTCGCACCTCGTGCTCTGCTGCCCTCGTGCCGCGTTGCCATGGCGCGCCCCGCCGTCGCTCGACCGCCGCCCGTCTGCTTGCGGCCGCTGACTGAAGATAGTGCCGCGTCCCAGTTCGGGCGTTGCGCAATGGGGTGTGTGGGAAGGTGCACCTCGTGTGCCCGTAAAGGGACCAGAAAGGGGCCCCGCACGACGTGTGCACGTTTCCCCCCCAATTCATCGCCCCCCCCATTTCGCAACGCCCGATAGGTGGCCCACGTGGCACAGGATCGCGCGGTGCCTCTCCTCATCTCCCCTCATCTCTCCTCCTCCTCCTCCTCCTCATCCTCCTCCTCCTCCTCCTCCTCCTTCTCATTCTCCTCCTCCTCCTCCTCATCCTCCTCATCCTCCCTCCTCCCTCGTCTTCCCCCCCCGGCTGGAGAGTCCGGCGATAACCCGGGTTATCGGGCCCGCCTGCAGGCCTTGTCAGTTGATTGCGCAGGGTCCGAAGGGGGACGCGGCACTGGTGCGCGCGGGCCTACGTGGGGCTGCCCGCGGCGAAAAGTTTAGGTTGATGGCCGCACCCCCCCCTCACCGGATAACCAGGGCTTCAGGAGGGGAAAAAGACAGTGACACTCACACACACACACACTCACACACTCACACACTCACACACTCACACACACACACCTACACACACATCCGTAGCCATTTTGGCTCAAGGCAATGCGTCACCCGACGACCGCAAGTCCGAGAGGGCGTTCCGAGCGCGAGGGGTCGCGCTTTGAGCCAAACTCTTGGAAAACGACTTTCATCTGGGCCGCCCTGGCCATTGTTGCTTGTTGGGGAACTGTATTGTGTGGCCCCCCCCACACACCGTGCACAGTTCAGGAGCAGCCATGGCGCCAGTCGGCCGCAGGGGCGAGCAGCGCTCCAAGTGGTGCTGCAAGTGGTGCAAAGGGCGAGATGGGAAGCCATTCGTCAACTACCCTGATAAGCTGGCATGTCACTCGTGTGGGGTGTCGAAGTCAGCGGCGTTCAAGAGCAAACCAGTACCGAAAGATCCTTCCTCTCGCAAGTGGCCCAAGTCGCCTGGCAGCGCAGGTGGCACGCCGCTGGAGAAACAGCTCCTGGCCATGTCCAACAAGGCCACGCAGCTGGAGAAGGAACTCAAGAAGAAGCAGATGCAGCCCATTGCTGCTGATGCCCCAGACGCCGAGCTGGACTTGGTCACGTGCAGCAAGGCTCGCATGGCAGAGTTGGACGGCCTCATCGCGCACCTCAGCCTCACTAAGCCCATTCCCCCTGAGATCGAAGGAGTGCTGGCTGGTTACCGCAAGGAGAAGGAATCTCTTCGAGCCCAGGTGTTTCAAGAAAAACCTCACTCGGTCAAGGTGCAAGAGTTGCCCAACAAGGTTAACAGACTGCAGAAGCAGCAGCTGCGATGGCAATCTAGTTTGGAGGAGAAGAAGGCCAAGCTCATGGAGCTTCAGGCTGATGTTACCGAGGAAGAGGAGGCCATGGACAAGGCGAGGGCTCAGTTGGTGGCGTTCCAAACTGAGCGAGCCCAGCTGTGTGCTGATGTTCCAGGACCCCTGCTGAGGCTCTTGATGATGGTGATGGCGATCGCTACTCGCTGTCTAAGATGTGCCAGGTGTTGCAGCGCATTGGCCTGCAGCATCCGCTCTCCACGAAAGTGGAAGGTGTGGTCGCTGTGATCCGTGAGGCTGTGGCGACGGCAGAGGGTCAAGCAGGAGGAGGCTGAGCGTGCTGAGGCGGTCAAGGCTGAGCCTGCTGGCGTGGCAGGCGCTACAGACCTTGAAGCAGGAGGTGGCCCAGCTACTGCAGAAGATGTGGACATGTCTGATGCAGAGCTCGAGGGGGCATCCACGGCTGAGTTCAAGGCCTACCTGGAGGGTTGTGGGCTGAAGCAGCTCGCGGGTGGCACAGATGATGATGATGAGCTTCGTGACGCAGTCAAGCGTTGTCTCAAGGCCCCTACTTGGCAGGAGGTCAAGCGCCGTCGGACGGCGGGTGTTGGCGCCAGTGGCGCACGTCACAGCTAAAATGATGGTGCTTCAAGAAAGTCAAAATCCAGAGGTTCAGCCGCTGGTGCAGCTTGGTTCGGATAGCCAAGTGGAGCGTGTTCGATCAGGTGCCCGGGAGCACCCCCCTTGTGCCCAGGGGCAAGGGCTTTCCGCTGGCGAGGCCCACTGCGGTGGGGTGGCCGATGCCCTCGCGCATGGAGCGGCTGGAGGCGGCCTGGTGGGGTGCTGCGACCTTCGCACTTTGGCCCTCCCTGTAAGTCTGAGCGGGGCCCACAGCGGCGGGGTGGCCGATGCCCCCGCACATGCAGGTGCTGAAGGCGGCACGGTGAGGCGCTGCGACGCTCGCCACGTCGCCCTCCCTGTAAGCCCGAGCGAGGCCCACAGCGGTGGGGCGGCCGATGCCTTCGCACACGGTGTTGCTGCTGGCGGCCTGGTGAGGTGCTGCGACGCTCGCCCCGTCGCCCCCACTGTAAGACCGAGCGAAGCCCACCGCGGTGGGGCGGCCGATGACCTCGCACATGCAGGTGCTGAAGGCGGCACGGTGAGGCGCTGCGACGCTCGCCACGTCGCCCTCCCTGTAAGCCCGAGCGAGGCCCACAGCGGTGGGGTGGCCGATGCCCTCGCACAAGGAGTTGTTGCTGGCGGCCTGGCGAGTTGCTGCGATGTTCGCCCCATCGCCCTCCCTGTAAGACCGAGCGGGGCCCACGGAAGTGGGGCGGCCGATGCTCTCGCACGCGCAGCTGCCGACGACGGCTCAGACAGGTGCTGCGATGCTCGCCCCACTGCCCTCCCTGTAAGTCTGAGCGAGGCCCACCAAGGTGGGGCGGCCGATGCCCTCGCACGTGGAGTTGAGGATCGTGGCTTGACGACTGGTGCCTACGGCCACGATGATTCCACTGCACGCCACGGGCCGCACAACATAGATGGCGAGACCGACCCCTTCGATGAGCTCGACAGGCAGCTGGACATGCAGGAGTTGCTGGAGGCGCAGCGGTCAACGCCAAGGTCGAAGCCACGTCGTCGACGACCTGAGCTGCCTGAAGATGCACCGTGGACGGCGGCAGATCACTCGTCACGGCCTGGGTTACAGATAGATACGGCCAACGCCAACTCGCACGGGACGTTGGTGCGGTACCTCAGCACGTCGGAAGCGGACGTAGTGCTGGCCCAGGAGACGCATGCGGTTGCAGTGAAGCTCCATGAAGTGCAAGCTGACGCGCTGGACATCGGCTGGCGTGGCCAATGGCTGGCGGCCACTCCCACCGTGGACGGGGGATCAGAAGGAGGGGTGACAGCCCTTGCACGCGCCAGCATACAGGTGACCGCGGCGCCTTTCCTCAATGCACGTGGGTTGGTTCCAGGAAGAGCAGCGGCAGGAGTGGTGCACGCAGGACCTGCTGGGGGCCTGGTCTGCATGTCCGTGTACTTGTACACGGGCGAGGGGTGCTCGCCACGCAACCTCGCGATCATCTGGGAGGTGTGCAAATATGTCAAACGAGTGGCAGATGCGGGTTACTCATGGCGCATTGCAGCTGGCTTCAACACGACCCCAGACGAGCTGCTGGAGCACAACTGGCTACAGCTGGTCCACGGGATATGTTGCGCACCGCCCAGCCCCACCTGCTTACATGCCCTCCCTGGTCGTGTGCTGGACTACCGCATCTTACATCGGTCGCTCACAGATGCAGCGGACTCCTCCCTGGACGTGATGGTTGACGCGAGTCTGTGGCCTCACCAACCCGTCCAGCTGCAGCTCCCACATGCGAAGTTGGCCCAGCAGAAGCGAGCTTTGAAGCAACCGAGGGCTTTCCCTCCGCTGAAGCCTGGTTGCGTTCGTTTTCCTTGGAGTTGGGCGAGGGTCATTGCAGAGATCCAGCAGGTGAGAAATGGCGAGCAGCTCGCTGTGGTCTGGGACCCCATGCTGAAAGGTATCGAATGGGAGCTCGCCAACCTTCATGATCTGTTCGGCCGGCAACGCGCTGCTCACCTTGATCGAGCAGGCCCTCCTGGGCTGCGGCACATACCTGTTGCCTGGACGCCAGCCTGTCGGCGTGAGAGGTATGGCACAAGAGCGTCGGCTTGGGCAGTGGCGTCAAGGTGGGCCAAGCACCTGCAATATGTCCGCCAAGTACTGCTGCGGGACATAGGCGCGCTGAACGGCACAGGGGGGGGGGGGGAGGCCGAACCAGACCCCAAGATCTTGCGACGAGTGGGACAGATCATGCGCGAGTTAGAGATCTACTCGCGGAAGCCGCAGCGCCAACATCATATACTTTGCTTACTCAATGATGAGGCCCGCGCCCTTTTCGGCGCAGGATTGGAGGGGCTGGTGCTCGCCAATTTCGACGAGCAGGTGGACCGCATTTGTGCGCAAAGTGATGGGCACACCCGTGCTGCGGGGGCGAAGTCCACGGCTGCTTGGCAGGAGTGGGCCAAGGCTAGCTGTGACGGAGGCGCTGGTCTGGCTCACAGGTTTACTAAGGTGAAGATGGAAGTCGAGGTGCCTACGGCAGGCAGTTCGTGCCAGCCCAAGGATTTGGCTGACGAGGAGCTAGAGGCGTGGGCAGGCATCTGGCAGCACCACCAGCTGCGTGGGTTGGCCCTCCCCAGCGGCGCGAAGAACTGGGACGACTTGTAGCCCATCACGGCGGCCAGGTTGCGCGAGGTGCTGTACACCTTTCCTGTGAAGTCTGCGGTGGGACAGACGGGCTTACACCCAAGGCAGCTCGACCAGCTATCGGGCATGGCCTTGCTCATGGTCTCGCTAGTGTTCACGCTCTGCGAACAGCGCCTGCAGTGGCCGCCAGATAGATTGGCCACGATCCTGGTGCGGCTGCCCAAGCCCAGTGGAAGCACAAGGCTCATCGGCCTACTCAACTCTTTGTTACGAGTCTGGAGTCGTGCCAGACGGCCCACCTTGGCTGACTGGGTCAAGGCGCATCGCAGTGCACACAGCTGGGGTTCAGGGGCTGGCAGGAGCTCGTCGGCTTCGGCGTTTCGTTTGGCACTCAACAATGGGATTGATGTGGCGCACGGGAAGAAGACTCTCACACTGATGACTGGCATTTGGAAATGTTTCGAGCTCATAGACCCCAGCGTGCTGCTGCGCGAGGCTGCGGCAGTGCAGCATCCCCTGCGTATGGCCTGGATGCTTATACAGGCATACCGTGTGCCTCGCGCGCTGAGAGCGCGAGTCGAAGTTCTTCGTCTCGGATGAGGCGCAGGCTGCACTCTCTGAGCTTCGCCTGTCAGTGCAGGTGAGGAAGCTCGGCTACGTGGCCTCCGACGTGGCCACGGAGAGGGCCGTGCAGCGGGTCGCACAGCAGAGGGAGCTCACAAGGCAGCGCTGGATGAGGAACCGCGGGCATGAGCTCACGACTGCGCGGCCTTTGAGGCTGCAGGAGCAGGACAGGATGAGGGCGCTACAGAAGAGAATTCGACGGCTGCATATCCTGAAGCGAGCGGCTGGAGTTCGACGGATGACTCGGGTTCAAAGCACAGGCCTCACTCCGTCGGTCCTGCACGGTGCTGCGGTGATGGGCGTGGCAGAGCATGTCCTGAAGCCTGTGCGCTCGCTGGCAGGCGCTCTGGCAGGGGTGAAGACGGCCGCGTCTTTGACTACGTGCATGGTGATGCAGCGCAGTCCGAGGTACGACCCCATCTTTGCTGCCACGCTGGAGCTGCCGTACCTTTACGCATCGTGGCTGTGGGAGGCCAAGGTATCTCTCGTGCAGCTGCAGCACGCTTGGGAGCTGATGGCAGGTAAAATGCAGAAGGCTGAGGCCTGGTCCAAGGTCACAGGCCCACTATCGGCTCTGTGGGTGACACTTAGGCGAGTTGATTGGTCGATGAGGTCCGCACATGAGGTGGTCACGGACAAGAATGAGTACTTCTCGCTGCTGGCTGTGGCTCCTCGTGGCTTCCGAGATCTGCTGGAGGCCGGAGTGCAGCGGTGGCAGATGCGGCGTGTACAGCAACACCTACGAGGGTACGACGGAGAGGAGCTGTGGTATCGTGCAGTTCGGGCGTGTACTCAGGGTCCTCGCGCTGTGCGGGACTCGGCAGAACTGGGCACTCTGCAGTGCCTGAGGACAGGCGCCATGTGGACACGAGAGAAGAAGTTTTGCCATGGCTTCGTTGCGTCGCCCGAGTGCTTGGCTTGTTCGGGAAAGAAACCCGAGACGCTCGGTCACAGATGGCTGGACTGCCCAGCTTTGCTTGAGAACTCGGAAGCCGACCCGCTGGAAGAGGAAACGCGTGAGCACAAGCGTAGGGCCGCCACGCGTCTGCAGATGCGTAGGGAGGTGCTTGAGTCGGCTGATCCCACTTTCTTTGATTCTGTCCAGCACGCTTTCGCGCTGCCGCTGGTCCCACCTCAGTCTGAGAGACCTGATCGCGCTCCCGAACAATGGTTTGAATGGGGGGGGCCCGAGATTCCCTGGGAGGGCACGGTCTACACGGATGAGGCTGGCCAGGACATGCAAGTTCCAGAAATT